TGTGTGTGTGTTGCGTACGGATGTTACGCATGAATGCTGCATGAACATACTGTACTCCGTGCTTCAACGGCATTGAACTGTTTCCAAGACCATCTTCGAAGCCCTGGAGTCATGGAGGAACTGCGGGAGCAACGCCACGAAGTCGAAGGTGGGAGTGATCATTGTCGTGGAGCCCTCAGGAATGAGAGGTTCTGTCCCTTTCCCAGCTTGTGAAGACAAAGGTCAGTCCTCAACCAGGTCACAGCAATCTAGCAGCAGCAACTTCATGATCAAGGTGTCCAGAACCACTCGTGGAAAACGGTCAGATGGGGTGCTTCTATGAACTTCTATGTCTATGTATAGTCAGAACCCTGAATTCACTGAAGGACTAAAGGATGACTTTCACAAATGCAAAACATAACCGAAATACATACAGTAATTCCGGGTTCTGCAAACAAACCAGAGAGTCTTTGAGACCAGGTTCCGCATCTGGACCCAAAGTTTGGCTCCTTTAACGACCTCTGTGCTGTCTAAACCATGCAGCTCTCCTGACTACCACTCATACCTAGTTCTGAGGTGGCAATGTATTTCTGCAAGCCTACTTGGCACAACGGCCTTTTATGTCCAGCTACAGCTTATGCTATGGCGCTTGCCGTACCTTGAACGTGGACTAGTTCCACTCGGCCAAATGCCCAAGCCACGAAGAGAAGCCACAGCCGTGGCATTTGCGCCGCCAGCGCTAAGCTGCGGCCCACAGGTAGCACGGCAATTTTTCGTTGTGCTACGTCGTCAGCTGTGCCTTTTGGCCTTGGGAAGGGGAGGTGACGAGGTCGGAACAGAAAGAACGGACACTGAAGGGCTGAGGGAAGAAACAATTCGATAGCAGATTTGTGGAGAATGCTTCCAGGTGCGAGAGGGTATTGAAATCATGCAGCAATGATCCTCTGACATATATCTGAGAAAGGAAAGGATCAGGACAACAGCAAACCTGAAGTCACACCCTTCTGTCTTTCTTTGTGTTCTATCTCCATCTGTTCTGTCCTTCTTTTCTGGGCGCCCCTCCGTAAGGTAGTTCGCACTGTACCCCGCAGGATGAGCTGGAGAGCGAGCCCTACACTCGTTAGCGCTCCCAATGTTGCCTCGCTTTGGAACCGTTTGTCGATTCAAGGCGCTGTATCCAGCAATGAATGAATGCTAGGTTTCGGAAAAGTGCAGTGCAGCTAGGAATTCGAAAGAAAGAAAAGTGTCTGCTGCAGCTGTCAGCTGAGATTTTACATTTTCTTCCACAGAATCTGGCCAAAGAGATCCTCTGGGACAACCCTCTAAACCCAGATTAATGCAAACCACTTCTTGATGCTTTGTCAGTATCTGTGTGTGTGTGCGTCAAGATCGACAGAGCACCCCAACAATGTAACAAGGTGCTGCATCCACATACAGGATCATATTTGTACAAGATGGTACAAGCAACCCATGCGGTGTTCCAAAGAAAGGATCCGCCACATCATCACATTTCAAACATCTACAGTATCTCATCCAACCGCTTTGTGGATGATGCACTTTTTGGCAGCCCAAGGCGCATATGCCATAAGCAGCTTCCGCCAGCTCTTCACACGGCTCAACCTCGTGCCAGAGCAAGCTGGGTGGCCGTCAAACAGGGTTTCGAGTCTCGAGCCATCCAAACTGCCACTTGATACAAACATTGAAATGATAAACGCATGATACCCCCATTTGTGAAAATGCATCGGTTTGACTTTCAGCGGTGACTTTTTAGAGGAGGGAAGGGACAGGGGCATGGTGGGCAACTTTCAGTGCAGCGCCCCTTCGTTCACAACTTTAGACTCGCATCTAGACTTAGTTGCACTTCTCAGAATATGTGTGTATATATATATATTTTTTTTCTATATAACTCAACAATTTCTTCAAAGACTTGTCAGACTTGTATCCCGAGAGCGATAGGATATCGGTATCGTACCTGTTCGGAGAGCACTCCCAAAAAGGTCGAGGAGCAGCCAACCGCCAAAAACAGATCCACTCGAAGCACCCACCCGCATGGCCACCTGGCCAATGCTCAAGGCCTCACATAGCAGAGTCGAGGCAACAACGGGAGAGGGGGGGGGGAGGCCGGCAAGAGGTGCATTAAGTAGATAGCTACTAAGTAGCATTGCTAAGCGTTTGCAGGCAAGGGCTCAGGCTGAATCATTCGGTTCCCACATTTCTTGGAAAGCTTCTGCCAAACATGGCCTCAATGGCCTCCAGATCCTATGACCCCCACTGACCTCCCCACCTGTGCCAAGCCCGGACCGCTGAAGGCATTCCGCAAGGCCACCGCACAGGCAGTCCACACAGCTGCAGTGGCGGCCCTATGGAGCTGGTGGCGGTGATGCATATTCCATATTTGCAAACTTGGTCTCACCAACCTACCTTCACCCACTGTTCAGTCTTTCCACAAACAATGCCCAACTCCAACTTTCTAAAAACTATCTATCTCATCCTCATCGGTTGGAAGTCCAAAGTAAGTAAAGGAAAGGAAAGGAAAGGAAAGGAAAGAGGTGACCGAGTTGAAATCCCACTAGTTTGCAGCGCCTCGAGACTGCAAAGGATGTTGTCAGTTTGGCACCTGCTGTAGGGCTTCTAGCCATGGCTGTGAAGCTGCCAAATAGAAGCCTCGGTAGGCAGTGTGCCACGGATAGAATGTGATGTGTTTCCCACGCAGATTGACTTTTCTGTTCATGTTGAGCATCGAACATATCCTTTTCTGGACTCTGCGCCCAGGTAATTAAAGGATTAGAGACAGCTTCTTCCGGCCAGTGGCAGCAAGATCGCCAACAAGGATTTGCCGCCGCCGATAGCATCCACAACAGGACCACCCAAAAGTTTTCCCAAGGCATATGCCAATTGTCCTGGAGAAGTTTTGGCGATGGCGCAAGAGCCCATCGGCATCCACCGGTTACCAAAATGTCTAAAAAGACCTCAAATGACCTCAAAGGTTTGGCAAGTGTTTCAGGCCTGTTCAACATCAGGGTCCAATTGTTGCCTCGTCAACCTTCCTACAAATCAGTTTTCCTTATCCGCAGTGAGTGGTAACCCGGCCTTTGGCATTCAACGCACCCACCTCCCTGATGGTCACCTCCATGGATTCATCACGCGTCAGGTCCAAGAGTGCCAAAGAGACCACAGAGCGAAAACCTGGAATCCAGTCGGCAAAGTGTGAGGCAAAGCAGCAAAACAACCCTGAAAACGAAAAAAAACTGTCCCCTGAACCCGTGGTTGGCCCCACCATTCACGCTGCAAAGCTGCAGAGAACAACGGGAATCAATAATCCATAGTGAACAAACAAAACGTGGAAAAATTGAACGTTTACAATGTCTGCGGCAAGATTTTGGGCAAATCCCAAGTACCGCTGACCCATGTGCCGCAGTCTGTGCAACTCAGGATAAACCACCGTGCGGGGTGCTGTCACTTGAAGTGCTGCTGTCGGCAGCCACCCGTTGACATAAACTGGCCCGACCGAGAATTTCACGTTCGATTCCCACACGTGAAGTTCCGAGGTGCTGAAAGCAAAACCTGCTGCGCTGCAAGTGCTTAACAACTCCAAATGGTCAAGGTTGGTGGCGGAATTCATGGCTACAACATGTCGGATAAACCGAAGACACTGCTGACTGCTGATGTGTACTGTGTACTTGTGAAAACTGAAAACGTAATTGCATTACCTGTGCACGCTTGCCCAAACTTGCACGACAAACCGTTTGCCACAAAAACAAAAACGTTGTCTGTTGGGCAAAACTTTGCTGCGTGGACATCCTCAGGGCAAGTTTCTAGGGTCCAAACTTTTTGGTTTCAATCGACCAACGGCACAGTCTCGATTTGTGATGCTCTAACCGACTCTTTGCAGGAGTGGCAAACCATCGTCATCAAGAAAACTGCATTGATCGGGAAGACCGTTTGCGGCCTGCGCCGGTTTCAATCATCCTTGCCGACTGTGGCCACATTAATTACACCAATCCAATGGGACTGCACAAAGTTGGCGCAATGGCAGAAGGGTGTTGAATCTCGATTGGCGCCATGTAGGCATGCCACCTTGATGCATTCTTGAAACATGCAAGCCCCATGAACTAAGTGAAACGCCGTTATCCTATGTCCTAGTTGCTATACAGATCTGTACTCTTTGTACCCATCCAGGACCGCCATTAGGGTGGCAGCCTGGGCACTGTCTAGCTACTCAGTGTTGCTGGACGATGTCATGTGGCATGTTCATGTCATTGGCAGGACCTGCACGTGGGTGCAAGCCTGAGCCGTGAGCACACCTAATGCAGGTCCTTGCGCAGCTCCTCGTAAAAATCGTCAGCCCACCCCTCACTATTTTTGCTTCGATTCGGTGGGAGGAAGTAACTCCACCTCGGGATGTCCAATTGACTGCATTTGTCAAAGGCACTAGATTCCGCATATGGCCCTCTCCAGGTAGTTCTGGCTTCTGGTTTGTGAAATGTGCAAAGTTGCGTACACCCTGCAAAGGCTCGTCGAGCCACATACAGCAAGGCTGGTGGGGCGTGTACCTTACGCAGCGACGTGCAGTTCAAAAAGCTCGTCCAATATGTCGCAGCTTGTTGGCAACACTGAGCCGCTCCAATTGCGAGGAGTGTGCAAAGGTGGACCCCAAAATCTCACTGATATCTGTTCGTGAGAGGTCTACTAATTGCAATCGGTTACAAAGCTCACAGGCAGCAGGTCCTATCCAAGTGAAGTCCGCTGGCAGGTGTGACGAGACGATCCTAGCCTCCAAGAAACAGCACTCAGGCAGGCATCGTGTCAAGTTTGCAGGATCATACTCAGTTTGCTCAAAGCAAATTTGCCGCAATGCACTGCATTTCTCAAAGGCCCGTGGACGAAATTGCGCCTGAGGAGCTAATTGATTAGCGGCATCGCCTTGAGCTCCTAACTGCACCAGGGAGCAGCATTCCTCGAACACACACATTCCAAAATGCTTGCACCCTGGGGCAAGGACGGTTCTGAGTACGTAACTTCTTCGAAATACACCATCTTGTAGGCAGACTACTGTGCTCGGCAGTTGAACCACTTGAAGCCGGAGACAACTTTGCCAGGCAGCCTCTCCTATGGTGTGTATACCTGCTTCCACTTGCACATGCCTGACATCTGAGATATGTGAAAATGCATGCGGCAAAACTCGGTCGATGCCATTGGATGGGACTCTGATTGCTTGACCCTGCTCTTCAGCTGCCCTTTGTGCTCGGCCTGGGCAATACACTGGCGAACAATCAGGAAAGCGATTGTTTTCTCGAAGAGTGACCCAAATAGGGTCAGCCAGGATTTTCCGGGTGTCCTTATGTACAAAGTCAAGCTCACATCCGAAGGTACTGCACTCTCCAATGTACGGGAGATTTTCAAGGACTGCATTCTCGAATTCATTGAGCCTATCAAACTCCTGTAGTTCGATTGACAGCTGGATTTCATCGCCAGCAAAAGTGGTCAGGATCAGATGCAGGACTAGCGATCGTTCTTCACTCACCTGCGAGCTGCCTTGTGACGAAATGTCTCCAAACATCACGAGGGTGCCCCGCCCGACTGTCTACTTGAGCCTTAACCGAGAGTCAACAAAGAACCAATCAGGGAGTGACTGTGTGAAGCTGACAATCATGAGGACAGTGACCAGGGACGGTTACATGGGAAACCGCCCTTGTATGCCTTGCCGCTATTGACGGGGTATGGCACTCACTGAACATGCAGCGTGTGAAGGCATGAGGGATAACAATATATTTATTC